TTTACAAATAATCATATACAGAAAATTTCAAATTTTGCCAAAACATGCTTACGATGATACAATTCTTTTAAAGGAAATTCTTTGAATTCTCAGTCTGTATACTTGGAATAGGTTCCCAGAGAAAGTTTTTCTTCCCACTGTAGGATTTTACCATAAAGAAGAACAAACCTAGGTGTGGCAGTGCACACCTGTAATCCCAGCATTTGGCAGACTGAAGCACAATTGTGAGTTTGAGGCCAGCCTGACTACATAGGAAGACCCTGTCTCAGAGACACAGACACAGACACAGACACAGACAGGAAGAGCCCCATAAATATCACAGTACTAAGTAGTCCACGTGAAAAAACTACAAGTCAAATAAACCATAGATCTGCTTTAATGGGGAGAGATACCACTATACTGGTTCCCCTAGAATACAATCCTTTGAAAATAAAATCAAAATGATCTACCAAATCCTTTTTTCTAGACTCCAATCATTTGTCTCCTGAAAAACTTAAGTAAAACCTGAAGAAATCTGAAAGATTTATCTTGAAGAGTACAGCTTATTACAAAATACTGTGTTCCTGGGCTAGGGGTATAGCTCAGAGAGTGGTAAGGCTTACCCAGCATGCAAAAAGCTCAAGGCCTGACCTCCAACACCACCAAGAATAACAACAATAATAATTCCTTCTGTATTGACTTTACTAGTTATATGAGGCTGTAGTTCACAAAAACTTTTTTTTACTCCCTACTGGGAGGATGGGTAAGGGAAAAGTGTGAGAGGTAAAATGGACAATGTAAGGAACACATCAGATCTTTTCACTATAAGGATAGTCCCTTAATCTATGGGACTACAACCCCCAAGTCTAATTCATATACAAAAACCAATCACTGCAAAGGCAAGAACAAGGATCCTGAATTAGGCAACGAGACGCCAATAGTGACTCCACCACTCGGTATATAACTTTATGGCATTATTTTACCTTTCTATGTTTCAGTGCCTTCAGCTATAATAAAGTGTTCATCTTATCTAACAGAATACATTAAATGAATTCAAAATATATCAGAGACTTAAATGTAGCAACTAAAGCTGCAAGACTCTGAACACACGGCAAAAATTTTTCATGTTGGGTTAGTAATTTCTCAGACACAACACCAAAGCAAAGTGAATAAAAGAAGAAAGTGATACATCATACTTCATCAAAATGTAAAACTTTTGTGTTTTAAAACATACTAGTAAGACCCAGGCATGGTGGTGCACACCTGTAATCTCAGCACTATGCGAGTCCGGGAGTATCACAAGTAATAAGTAAGTTGGAGCCCACCTTAACATATTTAGGCCCTGTATCAAAATTTTTTAAATATTAAAAAGGGCTGAAGATGTAGCTCCGTGTTAAGGCTCCAAGTTCAATCCCCAATACCACTATGAAAAACAAAATTTTTGCCGGGCATGGTGGCACACACCTGTAAAGCCAGCACTCGGGAGGCTGAGGCAGGAGGATTGTTGCGAGTTCGAGGCCATCCTGTGTTACAAAGTGAGCTCAAGGCCAGCCTGAACTGCATAGCAAGACCCTGTCTTAAAAAGACCAAAAAAAAAAAAAATTTTTTTAAAGGACACCATTAAGAAAATGAAGCCAAACTAAACTGGGGGAAAAAAATATTGTACTGAAATCATAATCAGATGAGTAACTCATACCCAGAATGAATATATTAATATTTTATCTCTCCTATATATCATTAATAATATAAATGTTCCACCAGACAATCCAAGTAGGCAGAAATTTTAAAATGACATTTTATCAAAGAAGATATATGAAAAACTTATAACCATAGGAAGAGATGCTCACCATCATAAGTCCTTAGGGAAAAACAAATCAAAAACCACAAAAAGATAGACACTAGGATGGCTATAATCAAAAAGACGGGGCTGCATATAAAGCTCAGTGGTACAGCACACACACACTTAGCATGTGTAAGATTTAATACACACACACACACACACACACACACGTAGGCACACCAAAAACTGGCCAGGATTTAAAACAATGGCAAGTAAAATAGTATAGCTACTTTTAAAAAATGCATTAGTGTCTTAAAATGTTAAACTTACCAGCTAGGCACTGTGGCACATGCCTGTAATCCAGCACTCTGGAAGGCCAAGGCAGGAGAATCACAAGTTCAAGCCTGAGCAATTTAGTGACTTAGCAAAATTCTGTCTCAAAATAAAAACTCTAAAAAGGGATTGAAAGGGGCTGGGAATATAGTTTAGTGCAAACACCCTAAATTCAATCTCCACCATGGCAAATACACAAATAAAAGTTAAATTTACTATATGATCCAATAATTCCACTTCTGGCGTACATTCAAGGAATATAAAATAGGTTCACATGAAGACCTGACATAAACACTGATAGCAGAAACAATCCAATATCCACTGACTAGTGTCCAATGACAAGTCATGTTGTGCTGCATGCTACAACATGAATGGACCTCAAAAGCATGCAAAGGGAAAAAAAATGACAAACACAAGAGACTACCTACTATATGCTCACATTTATAGAAATCTATAGACACACAAAATAGATTTGTGGTGGCCTGGGGCTAAGGGAAACAGGGAGTAACTACAAATGGACATGAGGTGGGGCTGGGGATTTAGCTCAGCGGCAAAAGCGCCTGCCTGGCAAGCGCAAGGTCGTGAGTTCGGTTCCTGGTACCGGAGAAAAACCAAAAAAAAAAACAAAAACAAATGGACATGAGGTATCTTTTTGGAATGATGGAAATGTTCTAAAACTGGACTGTGGTGGTGACTGAACAACTCTGTAAATTTACTAAAAAATTACTGGATTGTACACTTTAATCAGGTAAACTTTATGGGATAATTTAGGCCTCAACAGAACTGTTTGGAAATTTTTTAAAATAAGCTAAGTGAGAAAAGTCCAATACAACACATTATATAATGCCATTTTTGTGAAATGTCCAAAAAGAAAAAAATCTACAGATAGAAAACAGATTTATAGTTGCCTGAACCAGGGATGGGAAAAGAGACTAACTCTCAACAGGCACAATGTAATCTCATTGGGATGACAGAAATATCCTAAAACTGGATTACAGTATGGTATTATACCTCTGTAAAATTGGTTTAAAAAAATAAAGTGGTCAGATCACATCGGAAAACTGCTCATTTGTGTGCTTGGTTTTTTGTGGCACTGGTTTTTTGTGGCGCCAATCCCTCACCTATACCTGGCAAGCACAAAGCCAATGAACTATACCCCAAGCTCTATTTTATTTTATTATATTTTGAGAAAGGATCTCAATAAAATTGAAGCTGGCCTTAAACTTAAAATCCTCCTGCCTCAGCCTCCCAATAGCTGGGATTACAAGTGTGCACCCGTGTAGTTACTAACATTTGATGAACCATGGATCACTCCGTGAATGTCATGAAAACTAATCCTATCCAGACGACTGAGAGAAACAATTCAGATATCCTATGGATCTGAGAACACAAAATTATAAATCACTAAATCTCTAGAGTCCTTGCAACTCTGAAACTGTATGCCACCTTAACAGAAAAAGCACTGAGAATGCTACAACCACCCTTTTCACCCTAAAAAAAGATACCCAATCAAAAAAGAAAGCAAAATTCCTCTTTTGAAAGAATAGGGACCCCTTTACTTTTCTGATATCATTGTGGACTCTCCTATTTAATCCCCTTCCTTCAATATAAAACTGTAACTGACCTACACAGAAGCAATCAAGTCAGACATCTAGCTAAACTCAACCAGCACACATCAAAGACCCAACATGTATCAAGGACACAGGCCATGAAACGGTTTAAGAAAAATAAAATGTCTTTTAGACAAAATTAGCCCAGGTTTTAAACCAAAGAGCAAGTAAAATGAATGAATGAATGAATGAATGAATAAATAAATAAATAAATTTGACGTTTCTTTAAAACACAGACTCAGTGCAATATGCACTGACACCTCTAAGGCAGCTAAGGCGTCTTCAGCTGGTCACTGTTATAAAACTAGTTTTAGGCCAAAGTAGACAATTCCTCCTCAAACACACAGGGACTGCTCATGTGAGCTACACTGAGTCTCTGTTTAGCTAAACCCACCCCGTTTGGATTTCTAAAGTGACTGTGTTATTGTTGTCCAATACTCCCTCAACCTCAGTCCCTAGCCTCCCCCAATCATTATACCTCTCTGAGAATTACAATCCATGTTTGTGCAAGTTTTGGTCCGCTGGTGTTCCCGGACCCCCTTCAAATCCATTCACACAGCCCCCAGATCTACAGAATCACGTTATGCCCCCGGTTGAAATCACTCTAACCTCCGTCTCTAGGTTATTCTCTATTAGAAAAACTTGTTTATTTCTTCCTCCCACCTGCCAAAACCTGTTCTCTCTCCCTCTTTTTTTTTTTTTTTTTTTTTTTTTTTTTTTTGGTTTTTTGCTACCTGTTTGTCTGCCTATCTCACTAGAAACTCAGTTGCAAGGAGCCAGAGCTGGGTCCACTACCTTGCTCAGCGCGGTACCAGCATCTTCCCCAGCTCCACAGCAGCGATGGCTAGCGCCCGCGGCCATTCAAAAAATCGGGGTCTGGATCCAAGAAGGAGCCAAAGCGCGCAGTCTCACAACCCCAGAAATTGGGAACTCTGCGCACAATCCCAATATCCCAATTTTCACACAACCTCGGAGAGGCCTATACCACACCTGCACTTTTCTTCTCCACGATATGTCACTCGCGCTCAAATATCTGTGGAACCCGTACACAAATACTCCACCTGCTCTCGAGCTGCACTCCGCCCCGCCTCACAGGTGCGCGCCTCAAAGCCCCCTCCCTGCCTGCACGCGCCACCAGCTCCGGACTCCAAACATGCGCACGCACAGAGCTCTGCCCCACGGGCGGCCCTCGAACGTCTGCGGATGCTGCAACCCTCGAGCTCCCGCGGGTCCCCGCGTCCCCGCGTGTCACCCGCCGCCCTGCGGAGCGCCTCCCCCTCCGCGGCGCCGGCTCTCACCGATCACCTCCTGCAGCTCATAATCGTCCCGGTTGATGGACCAGGGCAGGGCGCTCGAGTCCTCGGACATGACGATAGCAGCGGCTCTCGGTCCTCCTCAAAGTCACTGACCTCCCGTCTCCTCGCAGCAAGTCTCCCCACCCCCAACCGCCGCGCCGCCGCCGCCGCCGCCGCCGCCGAGCCCCCACCAACCGCCTGAAGAACAGCCACGGGTCGCACGGCGCCGGGGCGCGGGGTCACTGTGTGGCACAGCGGCGGCGGCTCACAGCTCCGGCGAACCTCGTTTCCTGCGCCTGTGTCCAGCACTCCCCGGCCCGGCCCACGTCCCTGCCTCGGCCTCCGCTGCACCCGCGACAGAAACCTCCCCTGGGCCCAGCCCCTCCGCCCCGCCCTCCACCAGACCCCAGCAAGGGCCAAACTTTCCCCTCTGCCTCCACCTGCCGACACGCAGCGCGCTGACGTCACCGCGCCGGTCGCGCCCCGCCTTGGAACCGCCTCTATCCGCCATATCAAGTGTGTCTGGATAACCACGAGCAAGCACAAAACTCAGAAGGGGGAAGCTGAACGTGGATAGGAAAAAATACCTAGGGAAGCAGTTCAGAAAGGGCCACGGAAAGCAGAAGTAGAGCATGAAGACGCGCGCAAGGGGAGGTAGCCACACTAAACATGGCGACCAGGCGGAGGGGGCGGAGTCACTGCTAGCAGCTGGCGCACGTTGCCGTCTCCGTCGTCGCATTCATTGGTTGGTTTGAGAAGGAACGAGAAGGGCAATGGGTGTGTGTGGACGTCAGTCGTAAATTAGTCCCGCCTCCAGCCTGTCAGCGCGCTACTCCGCGATCGTAGAGCTCCGGTCTTTGAAGACCCGTGGTATTCCGTTTGCCTAACCGCTTTCTCTGTGGCGACGTCACGGCGTAACCGTCACACCCTCGAACGTGCAAATTGCTCTTCAGGGTGTGGAGAATCCTGAGGGAGCGGCTGGGTGGGGACAATTGCCAACTAGGATAAAGGTCTTGGGCGCTCTTGAGGAGGGGAACCGGAAACCTGTCCCGTGACCGCATTTTTTTTCAAGGCGGAAGTGCTCTGTAGCGCGGGGCTCAGCGCACGCTGCAGCGCATCCTCTAATGTTGGACTGCGAACGAGTTCTCACCGGGCTCTGCTTTGGGTCTGGAGAGCAAACAGCCGCCTGCTCTGGGGGCCTCAGGACGTTGGGGCATTTTTTTCCTACTGAACTTGATCTATTAAGTAAGTGAGGCTCTTCCCACAAGTGGCCTTGTATTTTGTGCACCTTCAATGAACTTCAGTTTTCTCAGGTTTCCTAGATAATGGCATTGAAAAACGCACTTGGTAAAATGGTAACAATAAATAAATAAAATAAAATAGCAATATGAAGACGGCCGGGTGTGGAAGTCTCCACTGAGAATACCTCTCAGTCCTATAGCACTCACTAAGGAAGAGACCCTTCACCGAGGCCCTCCCAAGCCCTGAGTTTGCCTGTGCCCATCCCTCTTGTAAGATAAGTGGGAAGACCAGAAGAGTTAGGTTTGCACATGGTTGATAAGACGAGAACGTCTCATAGAGGGGGTGGCATGCCTGCAGATCTTGCAAAGCTAACTTTGATTTCATCCTGTCAAATTGAGAGGATAAAATATACCAGTCAGCAAAGGTGCCAGAGTTCCCGACAGTATGGCATAGGACTTATTATGAAAATTGGTTTCAATCATTGCTACTACACTATCTTCACGGCATGTGTTGCCTTTCTTTGTCTTTTTACAGGAAGAGTAGAGTGGGCATCATGTCAGAGAACTATATCTGATGCTAAGGATTGGCAATCTCAAGGTTTGTTTCAGTAGAAAGATCCAGAAAGCAGAAATACCCTGGGGTTGTTGGGCTATTGGACCATGGACAGACTTAGGATTTTTTTTTTTTCACTCCTTTGAAACTCTATGCATAATGATAAAGAGTTCAGAGAGAAGTGTTGGCAAACTTCCTCTTCCTGTCTTCCCCCCAAAAAGAAGCTACTAATCTAATGTCGTTTGGCCCACGTTCTGATGGGGCATGGTCACTATACATTCACCCATGTGTTCTTTTCTGTCTCCTCAACACACATACTTTTATGAATGACTGAAACGAGACCTGCTCTACAGATCTTGTCATTACATTTCCCCTATATCTGACTTTCCTGGTGCACTTTACAATTCCATGCTTTAAATGAGCAGAGAATTGGTACCCATTTTGATAACAATCTCAAACCATGACCCCTTTCTCATCCTGTGGAGGAGTTTGTATGTGAAAGTACTGTCGTAAATGTCATAAATACAGTTATGACCAACGCAGCCTTGACCTCTTTTCATGGAGCATATGATTTTAGTAGAGAACAGTAAACGACTAAGGTCCGGGGGGCCTGCCTTTACCTACACCTAGAAAACTAATTCACTCTCCAACTCATTCCATTACAGGGTATATAAATCTATATTCTTTGTAAATGTATAATATTTCATGGTATGCATGGACCATAATTTTACCATTCACATAGTATTTTAAGCAGGATACAGAGGGGTTTTAGTTATTTGACACTATTTTAAAAATAATAGTTTTATCTTAATTATGCTGCTGGTGCTTGCATATGACTCCTTTCATAAGACTTGGCAGAGATGAGAAAAAGTTTTCAGAAAAGTCTGAGATATTTTCCCAGAAGAGGGACCCTGTTTTCTCCCACATTCTCAAGGGAGACCCTGTCTTAGTTCAGATTCCCCCCAGAATCAGATTCTGAGACCAAAATTTGGTCTCAGCAAGTAGTTTAAGAGAAGACTCCAAGAGGCACTCTAAAGGAATAGAGAAGTGGAGGAGGATAGTTGTTAACAGGTGCATTAATGAAGGGTTATTGTGTGGGCACTGGGATCAATCCCGTTGGAAGCCACCTGAAAAACAGATATACCTCAGAATTGTCCTACTAAGAGACAAGGAATCAAATTTTTTTTTTCTCTCAATAGTGGGGATTGAACCCAGAGCTTTTGCACTGGGCTACACCTCCACCCTGGTTTATTGTTGTTGTTTTTAAAAAAGGTGTAGCTAAATTGCTTAGGTTGGGCTCAAACTCACAGTCCTGCTTTAGCTGTCCAGAGTGCTAGGATCCCAGGCCCACCACTGCACACACTTTTTCCTTTTCCTCTTTATGAAGCTAATGCTTCTGCACCTCTGCCCACATCTGTGCTTAGAAGACCATGCTCCTCAGGTAAGCTCTTAAGTAGGCCCAAAGAATATGAACCAGGTCTAGATAGCATCTACTAGTGTGTGTAAACTTAAAAGAATCATTGTCTGGACTGAGAAATAAGGAGTGAAAGTATATTCATGTTTCTCTTCTTACTGTTGCCCATAAGCAACTTACTTGCCCTGTGCTTTGCTTTTGACACCTGCAGAATAGGGGGAAAAGGACTGATTTTAAGACTAGTAATGTCTTGAGTAATCACTACTGGGTAATTATATAGAGCTGTAATGATCAAGGTTTTATAGGATCCTTTAATGAAAGAAACTATTTTTGAAGTATGAAAATTAATGTGTACCCGTGTGAAAAACCTAGATATTAAAAATATGCACAGCATACACACACAGTTTTATATCTCTGTCATGAGCTGGTTTTCTCAGCATTTACACATCAGTGCCAGCACCAACTACACACTGCTATAATCTATGCCCCATTACATGTCACGTGTAGTGTGGTGTCATCCCTTGTTAGGCAAAGAGACAATGACCATACCTCACACAGGTTCACTTTCCCCCTTGTGTCTGGAATAGTGCCCTGCAGAGGCACATGTCCACGTGGTTTTAGTTAAGCAAATATAAACAAAAGCTAAGAACTAGACTGCAGTGACGAAGTGATTTCCTGGTAAACCAAAAAATGAATGGCCAAGGTATCAGGCACTCAGGGCCTGCCAGGTAAGTAGGTATACGTGGTATTGTAGAGGTAAGAAAATCAGTCTGCAAAAAGTAGAATCTATATGAAGCTAGATTGGAAGACAGAGGAGCTTCAGGTTCTCCCAGACGGGCACTGTGTCAGCCTAATGACCTCAAGCTGGGGTGAGCACAGATGGCAAATACCAAAGGGAGAAGGAGTTCCTAAGTACCATCAGCATTCAAACAATAGCGATTAAAAGTTAGTATGTCTAAAAAAATACTTCATTAATGTGTTTATTGTATCATTATTGTGCTAGGGAAAAATCGGAAACAACCATGAGTCCATTGATGGGAAAGGTCGACTGCTTTTATTTGTTATGTGGAACATCTCAGGATACATAAGAAATCTGTTTGTTGGTGTAATTAATGCTACCTAAAGTAACTAAGTCTCCATCCTGGCCTGACTCTCTCAGCCCCTAGCCTGCTTGCCAGCAGAAGCATTACTCTCTGCAAGGATTTTAACCCAACACTCTACTGTCCACAACCCAGGAAAGGAGATAAGATAGGACAAGGAAGTTATCAGGTCCTGGGGACATCTGGAGACACCCAAATATTTACAAGGAACACTTCAAAGGACTCGGCCCACTGAGATGCACGATTGCGAGAAAACTTTAACCACAGTTCTTCCTTGGGATCTTCTTGCCTAATGTCCCCTGCCTTCTTTCCTTCTCTACAAAAGGGACACACTTCTCTTTGTTTGGGGTAGGAGATCTTATCACACTCTCTGCCTGAACCCAGGTACAATAAATTCCATGCCATGTTGCTGTTGCACAAGCCTGGTGGTCAGTGGTGCTTATTTATGTTACAATAACAACCTAAAAATCTGAACAGTGTAACCCAGAAACTTATTTTTCACACACATAAGGTCCACATCCCTGGTCTCTGTCATCCAAGCAAAGAATCAGAGATTTGATTTGATTTCCTCTTACAGCACCACCATTTTATAATGTCTCCCTGAAGTCTTCCACTAAGTCCTGTGCACCTAGCCAGCCAGTTAAAAGAGAGAACACCACCTGCGTCCATTACTTCCTGCCATGCTGTATTCAGTCATCTGTCAACAGTGCCTGCGACATGAATGTGAACTGGCCTCCCAGACCTTATTACCTGCCTTTACCTACACCTACAAAACTAGTTCACTCTCCAACTCATTCCATTACAGAGTGTATAAATCTACAGTCATTGTCAATGTTGTATAATATTTCATGATATGCATGGGCCATAATTTTACCAATCTCCCCCATTCGGCGTGCGCACTCCTGTGTGTGTGTGTGTGTGTGTGTGTGTGTGTGTGTGTGTGTGTGCGCTTTACTGGAGATTGGCTGGAGAATCTTCACACCTCAGCCTCCCATAGTACTGGGATTACTGGTTTGCACCACCATATTCAGCTTCACTCTTTAAAATTAAGTGGATTTTCTATGAAATATTTTCCACTCCTAAGTACAAACCCAAAACAAACTCTCATACATATATTCCACATGACTTATACAAACATACACATGTGAGCATGTTTTGTAATGACTAAGTAAACCACTCAAAATGTGAAAATATTCATATGATAGCTACTGTACAACAGCAGAAATGTCCTACCGCCATACAAAATGACTTGGATGAGTCTCAAAAGATGCTGAGAAAAGCAGAGTAACAACATGGGAGTTAAACTCTGTGGTCAAGCATGTGCTTACAATCCCCAGCACAAAAATAAATACATAAATAAATAACCAAATGATTAAATAATGAGCCGGGCGTGGTGGCACACGCCTATAATCCCAGCACTCGGGAGGGTGAGGCAGGAGGATGTTGCGAGGTTGAGACCAGCCTGGGCTACAAAATGGGCTCAAGCCTAGCATGGACTGCATAGCAAGACCCTGTCTCAAAAAAAAAAAAAAAAAAAAAAAAAAAAAAAAAAAATTAGATAATGATTCCATTCACAGAAAACTCAAAAGTAACCATTTTTCTGTACCAAGGGTTGAGCCCATGAGCTATATCCCTGACCCTTTTCTTTTTTGTTTGAGGCAAGACTGCGCCAAGTCACTAAGGCTGGGCTCAAATTTGCACTCCTGCCACCACTTCCCAGAGTGCTGAGATTCCAGGCGTATACCACCGCATCTGGCTAAAAGTAGATACAAGTGCATAAACTTAGGAATTTCGTACTTCAGAAGAGCAAAGACACAGAAAACTTGTTGAGTTTGATGATGAGCTGTGGGAGAATGTTGACGTGGCCAGGGCAGCATAACTGAGCACCCTTTAGTTCTTCACCTGGACAGTGGGTACACAAACGCTCATCTACTCATGTGTGTGTATGTGTTCTTTTCAAGCGTATTTTCCAATCCTTAAATTTGGTGTCTCACAGCTCAGGTGGTAGTAATGTGTATAGCACCCCAACCCCGATCCAGGCCTTCCTCTCAAACTGAGAGACTTCCAACACTCTTTTCAACAGCCCTGTGTCACTGTGCTCCCTGAACCCTTACTGGAGATTTCTCGGGCCACTCCCTCTTCCAGGAAAGCCATGTTTCCTCTGTTCTGCCTTCCGTCTTACCGGCTCTGCCACCTTCTCTCTCTCCACCTCACCCACAGGAATGCATTTTCTGAGAGTTTCCCTCAGTCCCGTGACCTATACTTACTACCTCAGCCAGATTATTTCTGGGCACTTAGCCTGTGCTGATGTTCCACAGTCTTTTCTTTTCGTGAATACTATGTATCAAATTAGGTTGTGAGTTCCCTGTAAGGAGTAAAGAAACCCTATGATTACAGTGAAGGATTTTTGAAAGTTTTTTGTTTGTGGCCCACTTCATGCCCTGTGAGAACAAGGGCAGTCTGGACATTTATGAAGAGTTGCCTTCTCCCCTTTCTTAGAAATACTGGCAAAATTTTATATACCAGTTCTCTACCTTCACAGGACTATCAGAATCTTGGGGGATAGTATAATTTACAAAAACATTCAAAAATACGGGTGACCATCATATTCTAAACCCAGGAACTGAATCTGTTTTTCTTCTGATAACTTAGTATCCCCCACTCCCTGAGCTCAGAAACCAAATAAATTCAAACAGCATAAAATATGCCTCATTTCATAATATAAATTCAGATAAAAACCCTGATAAAATCTTCATAGTGCCAGGTGTGTTGGTGTATGCCTCTAGTGTCAGCACTTGGGAGACTGAGGCAGGAGGATCATCATGAGTTTGAGACCAACCTGGGTCACATAGTGAGTTCAAGGCCAACCTGAACTATACAGTGAGACCCTGTCTCCAAAAAAATATCTTCATAGAAACCAATTGTCAGGCAATGTGCTGGGGGATATAAATATCCATTTGGTAAAAGAGCCTCATGAGGTTTTGGTTTTTTTGTTTGTTTGTTTTCTAGTGATACCAGGAATCAAACTCACGACCTTGTGTTTGCCAGGTAGGCGCTGTGCCACTGAGCTAAATCCCTAGCCCCCCTTGTGAGGTTTTAATGCCAGTTTTACAGATGAGGAAACATAGAAAGCTTAAACTTGCCTCCAAAAATTCCTCCAGTACCTGGCCTATTGTAAGCATTTAGAAATTGGTAGCTGCTATTTATTAGTTGGTGGGAATTGAGTAGAAAGCATGAAGACAGGGGTTGAGCAACAACACCGTGTGGTTTGTCTCAGGGCTGCTTACTCAGAAGAACAGGTTTCAGCCACCATCGCATGATGTCATTCGTGCCATGGCACTGCTGAATCAACCGCTCTCTGTAAAATGAGATTAGAGAAAGAAAAGCATTCTCCTTGAGTACTAGGGCACTGTGAAGCCTTGTTTGCCCTTTGTGTCCAAGCTGAGCAAGTACATTTGAGTTTCAGAGCTATGGATATTACAGGACCTCAATTTGTCTGGACACTGAGAAGTGGGGACCAAAGTGCCCTTGGTCTCTACGTATGAACCACGCTCTGTGTGCACAGCTATGAGTAATTGGCCTACAAGAGAGAGCATCTCCTGTTATCCAGAACTGAGGTGCTTCTCAGTGAATGGCAGTATATTGTGACTCCAGGACCTTAAATGGAGTCTGAACTCTCACTTCCCCATCCACCAGCAGAAAGTTTTACCCTTTTGGGATAACTTGGTTTCTTTTAGGTATATACCCAATTAGCCCTCTCCTTCCTAGACCACATCCTCTTCCCTGACTGTCTGGTTTGGAGTGTGAGTACAGTAAAGTCCCATGTTGACCCCTTTCGTGGTGTTACAAGAAAGCATCTTTTGCAATGCCCTGCCCAAGGACTCCATCCCTCCAGGTCCTAGGTAGAAAATGGAGTCTCCCAGTGCCCCGTGAAAGCATGAGGAGGTGCGGAGACTTGGAATGAAACGCTGCAGAGATGGGACTTTGTGGCTGAAAACAAATGGTTGGAACATCAGTTCTAGGCACAGTCGTATCTGAAAAGACCTGCTGTGTCTCAGCAGTTGACACCTGCACCAGAAACAAACACTCAGAGGACAGCATAAGGGCCAGCTTAGAGTGACCCAAGTCAACCTTCTCCTTCAACCTTGAAGCTATGGGAGCTCTCCCCTTCTCACCTTCCCAGATACTACCACCATGGCAGGATGAAAAGGGAAAGGAAGGAGATCTGAAGAGTAGCTTTTAACTAAGCCCAAGTTACCACTGAGATGGTTTGAACCAAGATAATTTAATAGGCAAGCCTAAGATAACCCTTCCCACACAGCAGAGCAAATGCTCATGGAAATTATGAGATTTTAGAAAGTGAAGCTGCATGTATGCCTCAGAAAGAAAAAATCCCAGCTCTGAATTTTTGGGCTTTGAATTCTAGGGCTGGCGATATAACTAAGTGGTTATAGCACTCCTAACATTCAAGAAGCCCTGAGTTCAATTCCCTATACAGCAAAAAAGAAAAAAGAAGTGTCCAGTTACAGCCAACACTTCAATCACAAACCAAGCAGTGGAGCAGAAAGGGGACTTTGCAACAAGAGTAGCAATGACCCAGGGCAGGCTGTGAGCCCAGGGCTCGGGAGGAAAAGGGCGAGACCCACAGCAGAGCACAGAGGAGGACTCTGGTGGACACGGCTGGACTGTGGTTGCATAGGGGTGCAGGGACTTGTGACAAACACATTTTGTTAATTAGGATTCTTGGTTGGTAGTGAGAGAAACCCCAAACTGCATTAGAATGCCAGAACTCCTACTACAGCAACAGCCAAATAAAAGTTTGTCTTTCTCTGACAGTCTGAGTGTAAGTCACTGGAGCTGATGGCTCCACTCTGCCATGTCGCTATTATCCTCATCAGGCAGCTTTTAGTTCCCACCTCCATACCCATGTTCCCACAGGTGGGTAGGGAAAGCAGAAGACACACAGCTTTCTGTGAAGCCAGAAACTAAAAGTTGCACATATCACTTCCTCTTGCATCCCATGGTCCATAACTTAATCCCCAGGGCATACCATAGGGCCTCAGTTAGCTATTGCCACACACATGTGAAACAATCAACCTTTAAATCAGTGGCAGACAGCAGTAAGCAGTCCTTGTCCATACATGTCAGCTGTATTTGGCAAATTTGTGCTGGATTCAGCCGGGTTTGGTGCCTAACTGCAGCTTGTATCTCTTGTCTTTTTGCCACAAACAAACAACCCAGGGCATATGCTCTTCATGGTAACAACTCTCATAAGAATGGCAGCACATGTATGCCTTCATAAGTCATGTATATACACAGGAGCCATGTGGGTAGATAGGCCTGGGGCAAGCCTGGTAAGCCCTTTCATGTCTGCATTTACCTACCTCAGGGAAGGACAGCAAGATGAGAAAGGACTGAGC